GAGTTGTTAAACTTCTCAAAGTTGATGATTTTAGCCGCATTCTCGCTATCTGGAAGTCAAAAAGGCTAAAAAAGCAGTGAAAAGGTGACTTTTGTATGAGTGATTGACTGACTAAGTGGGTGAATGAGCCAAGTCATGTAAAATGAATTTAAATCAATGAAAAAAAACAAAACTTTCAAATATTTTCTGCTATCTGGAATTCACAGAATGTAAAAATTATTTAAAAACATGCAAAATAGAAATTTAAAAATTTTCGATAAGACAAAAAGACGTTGACGTTAAAATGAAAAAATTTCAACAAAAAACAATTCTGAAAAATTCTGAAGCGTTTAGTAAAGCGATTTCTGTTCGATTAAAGAACCGTTTTTCTTTCTTTATTTAGTCGTAAATCCCCTCGCTTATCAGTGTTGGGCTCAAAAAAAACGACTGCTCGCTCGAGCTGATCGAGCTGATCGAGTTGATCGAGTTGATCGACCGATTAAAGCTCAAACATTAATCATTAGTTAAATTTTAAAATAATTCCTGCAATCTGGAGCTCACAGAAGATCTTGAAAGAAAAATTTGGTGAAAAAAATGAATTTGAAATTTTTGACTTTTTTTAGAGTTGTCAGAGTTGAGGTACAAAGTGGGTTTCCACGGAAAAGAGTCTTCAGAAAAAAAACAAATGCTCTCTATTTCTCTAGTGACTTCCAGTTTCACCTGATCTCTCGCAAAAAGACATTTCAAGCCACTCTGCGGCCTCCAAGGCGTCGCCACTGTTTTTGAGGCCGAAGAAACAGAGTCCAATCCCTTCCATCACGGCTTTCCCGGTACAAACCTCATCAAAACACCGAACCAGCCATGATTCAATGATGGAAGATAAATAAACGATTTATTATGTAAGAATTGGGAAATGAAAATGAAAAACTCCGCGAGACTCCTTTGCTCGATGGTGAATAAGTGAATTTTAAAAAGAAAAATTTTTATAAACAAATTTATAAACAAATTTATTTCTCATTTTCTCTTGTGACTTCCAGAAAGAATAATTAAAAAGAAAAATTGAACGACAAGACGATGCTCGACAAGACGATGCTCGACAAGACGATGCTCGACAAGACGATGCTCGACAAGACGATGCTCGACAAGACGATGCTCGACAAGACGATGCTCGACAAGACGATGCTCGACAAGACGATGCTCGACAAGACGATGCTCGACAAGACGATGCTCGACAAGACGATGCTCGACAAGACGATGTTCGCCTCTTAGGATGTACGCCCAGAACAGTTTCTCTTGTTATGGCAAAAATGAATGCGTCTGGAAATGTGCACAGATCTAGGAAAAAGGGACGGCCGAGGATTACAACAAAGAATGAAGACCGATTCCTTACGGGAGCTTTCAAAAAGGATCCGAATTTGACGTTGAACGATGGAGTCATTCTTTTCAAGCAAACTTTAAACAAGAATATTTCCCGCTGGACCTTGCATCGATGACGCTTGCTCGATGCTTGCTCGATGCTTGCTCTATGCTTGCTCGATGCTTGCTCGATGCTTGTTCGATGCTTGCTCGATGCTTGCTCGATGCTTGCTCTATGCTTGCTCGACGCTTGCTTCAAGCAGCATTGTATACTAGAAGACCTGCTTTCAAGCCTATGATGACAGCCAGGAGGCAGCGCAAACAGGCAGCGCCTTCAATTTGCTCGAACCTATTCAACTTGGACAATCGATGATTGGGCCCGAGTGTTGTTGTTGTTTTTTGTTGTTTTTTGTTGTTGTTGTTGTTTTTTGTTGTTGGTTTTTTGTTGATGAAACCAAAGTTGATATTTTTCTTTCAAATCGAAATCATCTGATCCGACGTCCAATTGGAAAGCGATATCAACTCAAGCACTTGCAACCCACGATGAAAACAGCCGGAGGATCAATTATGCATTTCGGTAACGATAATTTTCTCCTTTGAAAATGGAAAACTCCGCGATACTCCTTTGCTCGATGGTGAATAAGTGAATTTTGAAAAGAAAAATTTTTATAAACAAATTTATCTCTCATTTTCTCTTGTGACTTCCAGAAAGAATAAACAAAAAGAAAAATAGAATACAAACTTTTAAAATTCTCGTTTTTTTATCGAGCAACAGCAACAGACACTTCAACCATGACAAAAATGAGAAAAAAATTTTTCAAATCGATCTCGACAAATCCGATGACATCCAGAAGGATCAAATCTTTCTTTAAAACGTTTATTTTTCAGTTGACTTTTGGGGAAAATGATCAGCTAGCTGAGGAGGCTGAAGAGGTTAAAGAAAACACCATCAACATCAACATCGAATCTCAACACGACCCTCGTCACCGCACAAGCGATTGAGAAAGCCGAAGAGGTCATTGACGGTGATTTTTTTGTTTTCTCCACTAGTGGCTATTAGTAGTATTGCAGGTTACAAGTTAAAGCTTTATTATTGAAATTTTAGCTGGCTAGCTGGAGAGGTTAATTGTCTGAAAATGAAAATAAAAAGAAAAGTCTAAAGTTTTCGTTCTATAAGCTTTTGTGAGTTCCAGGATTATCGAAAAGAAAGGTAGACAATGGAGAAGTTAAACAGAAGTAAAGTTAAACAGAAGTAAAGCAAAACAGAAGCCGGATGCTACGCTTCGAGAAAAGTTCCCAAGGCATCCTTGATCTTTCCGCTGTCAATCCTTTTCCGTTGTCAATCCTTTTCCGCTGGAACTCTCTGAAGAAAAGACCAGTCCGCGGGAAGACTCTGAACGTTTAACCGGAAAGATCAATGGTTTTCCGCTGGAATTGTTTTCGGAAGTGATCGGAGAGAGCAAAATGATACAAGATTTCAGAGTAGATCTCTGGAAAAATAAAAAAAAACCAGGGACAAGGATGAGTCAAAGTTGAGCTCTTTACGGGTAGCTATTAGCTTTTCCTAAGACACTTAGGAAACGGTTTAAGCAAGGCAAGGCAAGGCAAGGCAAGGATTTTCTGGAATCGATTTCAAACTAAACTCCTTTCTCATGGTGATCAAAAATTGTAGTGCTAAAAGGAAAGTCAAAAAGTGCAAAGTCTGAAGTCTTCTTAGAAGACTTCTTGGAAGACTTGAGACTTTGGACTATTCGACTTTGGACTATTCAAGTCTTCTTGGAAGATAAGGATGCGGAAATTTGGGGTCAACTTGCACGTTATTCTTTTTGTTTCTTTGTTTTTCTCTTTCGTTTTTTTTTCGTTTTTCTTTTTTCTCAGGTACAAATTGAGAGTTTTAAGGTGATAATTTTGAGAAAAAGTGATCGGAGAGAGGAAAATGATACAAGATTTCAAGCTAGAAGTCTGGAAAAATGAAGAAGCAGGGACAAGGATGAGTCAAAGGCAAAGTCAAAGACAAAGTCCAAGTCCAAGTCCAAGTCAAAGTCAAAGTCAAAGACAAATTCAAAGACAAATTCAAAGACAAAGTCAAAGTCCAAGTCCAAGTCAAAGACAAAGACAAAGACAAAGACAAAGTCTTCAATGCATTCAATGCTTCAGTGCATTGGGAAAATTTAAGCTTAAAGTCCATTTTGGAATAGATATTAAGGCTAATTGGATTCTAGAAAATAAAAAAAAATAAAAATCAAAAGAAAAATCAAAAGTTAAGCTTTTATAAGCTTTCGTGCTTTCCAGGATTACCGAATTTCAACTTAAAAGAGGATTTAGTGAAAGATTGACAGCGGGGAGAGGGGTGATTCTAAAAAGTAGCGAAAATTTGGCGCGGTTTCGGTCGACATCATTCGAACAAACTCCATTATCACAAGAAAAACCAATGCTCACTTTTCTCGCTTTTCTTTTTCTAATTTTCGCGGAGAATTTCAGTGAAACAACAATTGAAAAAGCAGAGATTAGCGGGAAATTTTTGGTTTTTCATTTTTTGATACCTTTCAAATATAATGTAGTTATGCCATTTCAAATAAAAAAAATCAAAATTCAAAATTGAGCGGCGCTACGGGGTGTCGAACCTGGCTCGTGCGGGCTGCCCTGACTGCGTGCACAAGCGCCCTGCCAGCTGCGCCATGGCGGCCTCGAAGCGAGGGAAAAGGAAAGCCCCTATAACCAAGGGATGCTAGATGAAGAGCGATTACGCGACCGCACAAAGAACACCAAGAGGTTCCTCTTTTGGCAGATAGTACATAAAAATACGAGATTTGGCTGGAAATTTGTACCCAAGGGTTTTCGGGGACGGTGAATCGATTGGAAATATTCGTTTGATTAAATCTACCTAACTAGAACCTAAAGAAGGAGAGGTTCCTCTTTGTTTAGCGCAAGTGAGCCCAATCCATCTCTGATCCCGACTCATTTCATAGATCTTTATTTTACGGATTAAATTGGATTATTGGATTATTGGTTTATTGGATTATTGGATTATTGGATTATTGCATTATTGGATTTCCTGCGTTCCAGGCTGAACAGCAGAATCCATTTTTTTTTCGCAATCTCAGAGAGAAAAGGCGAGCTTTTTCGGCTTTTTCGGCAGATCACTCACTCCGAGAGAGATGGCGAGTGAGTGACCACCGCCTGGGACCTCTTTCAACTCAAAGCCGCCGGGAATCACGATCCTGGATGTCACTCTATCTTTTCAACCAATTTTTAAATCTATCTATCGAGTTTTTGATTTTTTTTTTCTAAACGGTGCCCCAGGCTACCGTACCCTGGGAGCGAATTTTTCGAATTTAACTTAAAAAGTGCCTTTTTTTATGATCAAAGATCGAATTTTAGTTAAAATTTAGCTTTATTTAGCTAAATTTAGCTTTATTCAGTGTTTACTGTAGTTTTTACGACTAGGATTACGGTAATTTCGATAAAAAGAGCATCTTTTAGACAAAAGCAACTTCTGAGCTATTGTAATCGGCTAATTGATGCCGATATGCTAATGATTTTCCCACTTTTGCAATGGCTATTCTCGTCCGGGCAAATCACAGCACAAGAGCTTCTCGCGAATCCGAAATGCAACGAGCGAATGCAACCCGGCGAGTGCCTGAACTTTACCGTCGCTTGGTACTATGATCGGTGAGCTTTAGGAGTTTTTTGAAAGTAGTTTCCACCAATCTGGAAGTCACAGTCGCCAATGGATAAAGCAGAATTACGGGTTTTCTCTTGGCTTTCAAAAAGTGCTCTAAGCTACCGTAGTCTTTACGTCGGATTATGGTAGCCTTTACGGCGGATTACGGTAGCCTTTTTCTAACTATAAGCGTGCCTTTTGTTTAATATATTGTAAACGCTTTAGTTACGCTCATCGATGTCGTGAGTTCTTTTACAGTGGTTGTGCCGGGAATGGAAATCGCTTCACAACCAAAAAAGGTTTGTTTCTTTTGATTCGAAATTCAAATTGAACAAATTTTTGGTGATTCTGGATGTCACTGCATTCAAATTTGAGCTAATTTATTTATTTTGTAAATTACAAAAAAAAATTCTCTCTAACTCTCTCTTCTCAATCTCCAGCTCAATCTCAATGTTGATTTCTATCCATTTTCTGCAATAAATCCTCAGCTAAAGTTCACAAATTCCTCTGGCTTTGATCAATGAAGTGTTCGGTTGAGTGAGAGAAAGGAAAGAGAAGGAGAAAAGACATTTCTCTCTTTTCTTTTCTCCCCAACGATTGAAACATATGTGCTGAGGTGCCAATCAAAAGTGAATGAGGAAAGAGGATCCACAAAAATTCCCTCCCGCAAAAGATAGAGTGGGCTCCAGGATTACTCTTTTTCTTCACCCGGCTTTCTTCGGCTTTTTTACCCAGCCGAAACTCGAAACCAGCTGCATATCGACTCACACCTCGTGCTTTGACCGTTTGAAAAAACTAGAAAACAAGAGCTGATTTGAATGGTGTGACATCCAGGATGAACAAAAAAATCTAACTTACGAGGTTTTGACTTAACCTAGGCTAACCAGAGCCTCGAACTGGCTAGGATTGTCGATGCTGATATCTCGTGCTTTGGCCGTTTTCTGAAAAACTAGAAAACAAGAGTTGATTTGAATGGTGTGACATCCAGGCTCAACAAAGAATTTCAATTAACGGGGTTTTGACTTAATCTAGGCTAACCAGAGTCTCGAACTGGCTAGGATTGTCGATGCTGGTAGCTCGTCCTTCACTGTTTTCTGAAAAACTAGAAAACAAGAGTTGATTTGAATGGTGTGATATCCAGAATGAACAAAAAGATCTAACTTACGGGGTTTTGGCTTAATCTAGGCTAACCAGAGCCTCGAACTGGGTAGGATTGTCGATACTGACACCTCGTCCTTCGCCATTTTTTGAAAAAACTAGAAAACAAGAGTTGGTTTGAATGGTGTGACATCCAGAATGAACAAAACAATCTAAGTTACGAGGTTTTGGCTTAACCTAGGCTAACCAGAGCTTCGAACTGGCTAGGATTGTCGATGCTGATATCCCATTCTTCACCGTTTTCTGAAAAACTAGAAAACAAGAGTTGATTTGAATGGTGTGACATCCAGGATGAACAAAGAATTTCAATTAACGGGGTTTTGACTTAATCTAGGCTAACCAGAGCCTCGAACTGTCTAGGACTGTCTTGTCTTACGGCTGTCTTTTTCTAGAAAATCAAAAACGACACTAGATTTGAATAGTGTGCCTTCCAGAACAAGGAAAACTAATTTGAAGAAACTTTTACTGGTTTCAGTTTTGTTTTTGCGGAAATACTGAATTTTCGTTTATTTTTAGTTTGTTTATTAAAGATTTTTCTATACTTTTGTCTTTTCCTTTAACCAGTTTTTATTTTCCAAAAAAAAAAAAATGATCACAAAAGGTCGAGGAGATTCATCGGAAATGATCACAAAAAGATCTATCGAAGAGTCATTTTTTTTAGAATCCATCAATTTCTTTTTATATGGTTCTCAAATAGACAAGCTTTTTAAAAAAAAAAAAGTTATAAAAAGTGAAAGTGACAATCTGCTTAGACTGTCAGTTAGACAACCTAAAGAAAGTGAAGAAAACTGAAGAAGAAAGTTTTAAGTTTTAAGAATATCCTCATACTTTCTAGGGCTGAGTTTCAAGCTAAAATTTTCCTCTTCCTCTTCCTCTTCCTCTTTCAAGTTTCAAGCTAAACTCAGCCCTAGAAAGTATGAGGATATTCTAGGAAAATGGAATATGATTGAAAAAGGAAGAGAAAGAGGAAGAGTAAGAGGAAGAGAAAGAGAAAGAGGAAGAGAAAGAGGAGGAGTAAGAGTAAGAGTAAGAGTAAGAGTAAGAGTAAGCGTAAGAGTAAGCATAAGCGTAAGAGTAAGAGTAAGAGAAAGAGTAAGAGAAAGAGGAAGAGGAAGAGAAAGAGAAAGAGTAAGAGAAAGAGGAAGAGGAAGAGGAAGAGGAGGAGTAAGAGTAAGAGTAAGAGGAAGAGAAAGAGTAAGCGTAAGCATAAGAGTAAGAGGAAGAGGAAGAAGAAGAGGAAGAGAAAGAGAAAAAGAAAGAAGAGGAAGAGTATGAGTAAGAGGAAGAGAAAGAGAAAACAGATGATTTCCATTTCCAGAATGTGATCACTCTTGTCATTTCGAGGATATCGCATCGGTTGATCAGCGCTGCTCTCAGAAATACGATGTTGGCACTTGTGAGGCAGACATCGAGAGGTTACCATTCAAAATTTCAACAATTTCAACAATTTATCATCTAAACCGAAAGAATACGTCAAAAATTGTTTGTTTTGATGATTTTGTTTTAAAGCTGTCACTGATTTCCTCAAATTTTCTTTCAGATGGTACTTTGACTGGACACTAAAACGATGCGTTTGCAGGTACGCTTTAGAATTTGAAAGATCTACCATAGAAAGATTAGAAAACTCAACAGGAAACTGAAATTCTCTTTTATCCAGAGAAAGAGAAAGAGAAAGAGAAAGAGGAAGAGGAAGAGAAAGAGGAAGAGAAAGAGGAAGAGAAAGAGAAAACAGATGATTTCTTTTATCCATTACCGACTGTGTCTACCAGATAGATGAAAAGTTGTTTTAAAGTTGTTTTAAAGTTCATAAAGCTAATGATCATAATATTGGGTTGGTGAATTGAAAGATGCGGGACTTTGAATTCAAATTGATTCAACATAAAACCATAAATTCATTCTAAATAATCTCCATTATTATTGACGACTTTTGCTCATTTTATAGGCAATTTACGGACTCCTCTTTCGTGGTTGGATTGGCTTTGAATCGAAAAACTTTTAAAGCCAATTTTTGACCGCTTCTTCCGAATCGAAGTATTCTCCCGCAAGCTCATTACTCATCATCCGGAATAGTAATCAAATAAATAGTAATCAGAAGGGACAAAGTCCGGACTGTATGGGGAATGTGTTCCCAAACAAGGCTATTTATTTTAGAGTTAGTCAGTTTTGCAACAGGGTCACTAGGGTCACTTTCGGGTTTCTCGCCTGGCCCCACCCATTGCCACTTCCTCTGATAGTTCACAGATAAAACCCATTTCTCATCTCCTATCACAATTCGAGAAACGAAAGATTTCCTTTCGTATGGACGATGGACGATGGAAGATGGACGGCACTGATCGAGGCGCGCTGCCACTTCTGGGGGTTATTGAGGTCATGGGGTACCCAAGCCCCAAGTTTCAATTTAAATCCAAGGGTATCAAGGTGCCTTAGCACAGCATGATCAACCCCTAACTCTTCTCCCAATTCACGATACCCGATGGGTCGTTGGTAATGAGTTCGAGTAATTTGGAATGATCCAGTTCGCTCCACGGCCCTCTGCACCTTCAAAGATTTGTCCCCAAAGATCGAAACTTGACAAACCATACTCCGTTCTTTCGGAAGGTGAGTCAGCTGCCAGCTGGTGAGTCAGCAACTGCCAAGTCTGCATTGTGCTCTTGTAGGAAGTCATGAAGCATGACATGACAAATATCTCCCGGTGGCAGATTGTCGAGTGCAATAGAAGAAGTGAAGAAAAATATTAAAAACTAGAAGCATAATTTTTTCGCAAGAGGAAATGTTGAAGTAACAAAACCCTCTTTCAGCTGATTCAATCCTGTTGTTTTTTCTCTACGAGTCCCGCGAAATAGTCCGCAGTTCTCAATTCACCAACTCAATAGATGAAATCAAAGATCCCTATCAGCTTTTTTTTCGTTTCAATCTTCTGAGATCAACCTTCTCTTCTCCAAAGAAAAAGAAATACGACATATTGCTCAATTTTCTTTGAGTTCTCAATTCACCAACCCAATATTAAGCGACGTTGATGGTTAACGGTTTATTTAACGATCAGATTTTAGCGATCAAATTTTAATGATCAAATTTTAATGATCAAATTTTAACACCCAAATTTTAACGATCAAATTTTAACGATCAAATTTTAGCGATCAAATCGATTTCTCATTTAGTTGGTGGTCTGGTTGTGGTGGGAATTCGAATCGTTTCTATTCGGCGAATCATTGTCTCGAGATTTGTGGGCAATTCTCATTGGGCGATCCACTTTTCGTGCAACCCGACTGGATTCCTGTTAGGCCGCAAGTGAGCGCTTGGAAATCTTCTTAAAGAATTTTAAAGAATTTAAAGAAGATTGAGAAGGGAATTAGATTTTGGAGGTTTATTGGAAATAGAATGGATCTGATAGAGAATTCCATGATGTTTCAAAATCTGTAATCAAAAATCGAATCAAAATCGTTTCCTCAAATTCGTTGCCTCGAATTCCTCTCGAAAAAAGGCTTTCTTTTTATCAGACTTTTGCCTAGCTAACACAATAAGATCCCTTTTCACCTCGGCCTCTTAATTACCTCCGTGGTCTAGTGGTTAGTGCGCTTGGCTGCAAGGCCATCGATCGCTCTTTTGCATGGGTTCAATCCCTCGTGCCACCTTCTTTTTTTCTCTTGTCATTTGTCTTGTCTCTTGTCTTGCTATTTTCAGGCTCTTGTCAAGCCTCAAATTCTTTGCCTCGAATTCGTTGCCTCAAATTCTTTGCCTCAAATTCGTTGCCTCGAATTCTTTGCCTCAAATTCCTCTCGAAAAATTCCTTCTCTTCATCAGACTTTTGCATACCCAACACAATAAGATCCCTTTTCACCTCGCCCTCGTAATTACCTCCGTGGTCTAGTGGTTAGTGCGCTTGGCTTCAAGGCCATCGATTGCTCTTTTGCATGGGTTCAATCCCTCGTGCCACTTTCGTCTTCAGCTTTTTCTCTTTTTCTCTATTTTCATAAATTTCAGTACAAAGACGAAGTTTGGGCTCCAAAATCAACCATTCAACCCATTCATCCGTTAGCGTTTCTGAATGGACAACCCACGACAACACTAAACGACTATCGGGTATTTCAAAGAAAAATCCTTTAACAAAATGATTTTAATCCTTTCTAATAAAATCAAAAAATGATTAAAATGATTAAAAAATATAACAAAATCGTTTTGTTATAGTTTGGTTGTTTTTTTTTTTTTGTTTTCTTATAGTTTTATCGATTATTTTCTCGTTATAGTGATGAGAAAAAGGTGTTAAAATGACGAGAATGACGAAAAGAAATCTAAAATTTAGCCTCAAATCCCTTCGAATCCAGTCCAACAACAGCAACAAACTGTGAGTTGAGCTTTTTTTTCGCTTTTTATTAAAAACTCTAGACTTTATATTCAAAAATATCTCATCCATCACAGGGAAAACTCATTGAATTTTCACAAGAACTTTGAAATTTGAAATCTTCTTGATTTCATTAAATTAATTTGAAGTCTTTTTATCTTCATGACTTCTTCAAATTGAAATTTTCTCTGACAGTTCACTGTTGGGTTAACTGTTGAGTTAGCTGTTGAGTTAGCTGTTGAGTTGAGTGTCTAGTTGAGTGTCTAGTTGAGTGTCTAGTTGAGTGTCTAGTTGAGTGTCTAGTTGAGTGTCTAGTTGAGTGTCTAGTTGAGTGTCTAGTTGAGTGTCTAGTTGAGTGTCTAGTTGAGTGTCTAGTTGAGTGTCTAGTTGAGTGTCTAGTTGAGTGTCTAGTTGAGTGTCTAGTTGAGTGTCTAGTTGAGTGTCTAGTTGAGTGTCTAGTTGAGTGTCTAGTTGAGTGTCTAGTTGAGTGTCTAGTTGAGTGTCTAGTTGAGTGTCTAGTTGAGTGTCTAGTTGAGTGTCTAGTTGAGTGTCTAGTTGAGTGTCTAGTTGAGTGTCTAGTTGAGTGTCTAGTTGAGTGTCTAGTTGAGTGTCTAGTTCACCGTCTATTTGACTGTCTAGTTCACTGTCCAGTTCACTGTCCAATTCACTGTCTAGTTCACTATCTAGTTCCCTGTCTAGTTCACTGTCTAGTTCACTGTCCATTTCCCTGTCTAGTTCACTGTCTAGCTCCCTGTCTAGCTCCCTGTCTAGCTCCCTGTCTAGCTCCCTGTCTAGCTCCCTGTCTAGCTCCCTGTCTAGCTCCTTGTCTAGCTCCCTGTCTAGTTCTTTGTCTAGTTAATAAACAAGAGAAAATCAAGTGAGTAAGGTGGTCAAATAGCATGTGTTATGGTTGGAATTAGGTTGAAAAGAAAGCTCTCAAAAAAAGTTTGACTGAAATTTCTAAACAACAAATCCACTAATTCAAGAATATTTTTGTTCTATTATTTACAAGTGAACTTTAATCGAATTTCTAGATTTGTCCAAGATTTCGATTCAAGAAAAGCTGGACTTGAGTGACTTTTAAATCGATTTCAGAGATCTACAGTCGATCCAGTGCCATCAGATCCTTCTCCAACTGCCGATTACAATGAGATTTTTGTGAATATCGACTATCCACAGGTTTTTTTTCAATCTCTATTTCGTTTTCTGTTTCTTTCTCTGTTTCTTTCTTATACTCAGTCAATTCTGAAAGCTTTATAGGCCACGAAACCTTTCAAATCCGATCCATACTTCACTGGGAAATTCGCAAATGAACCAGATTTCGAGCAATTCGACTCAGACGCCGTGCTAAGAGGACAATTTCAAGTAAAGCTAGTAAATAGTAAATACAATTATTTCATCTAAACCGAATTCTCAGTTATTTAAAGGATTCAAATCGAATCTTTAAAAGGTTTCAATCATTTTCAGCCACCTGAATCAACCGATTCAATCAGCGACTCAAAAATCGAGGAAATTCCCTTCAGTCGACGTCGTGACGAGCTGGATGGAGCATTTAATCGAATCCCGTTTGCGCCCGATTATCATGATAATCTATTGTATCAAAAGGAAACGGTAATCTATAAAGGAAATGGAAAAAACGAGAAAAAAAACCGACTTTCAGAGCATTCCATCAGCACTCCGCATCGGCAATGAGGGCTTTGCCACTGGACCACCGGTGAGTACAGTGATTTGATATGGATATTCTTGATCTTTCAATCTTAGAGCCTGTAAACCAGCTCAGAAACCAAACCCAGTTCCAGAGCCCGTTCCAGAGCCCGTTCCAGAGCCAGTTCCAGAGCCAGTTCCAGAGCCAGTTCCAGAGCCAGTTCCAGAGCCCGTTCCAGAGCCCGTTCCAGAGCCAGTTCCAGAGCCAGTTCCAGAACCAGTTCCAGAGCCAGTTCCAGAACCGGTTCCAGAGCCAGTTCCAGAACCAGTTCCAGAACCAGTCCTTTTTCAGTGACACATTTGACCAGACCCAGCAGAGCTAGGCTAGAGAACAAAGCTAGACCAGAGACTTGATCCAGTCATTTTCCAAGCCAGCTGCAAAGTTAGGACAAGACCAGAGCCAAGCCAGGCCAAGCCAGGCCAGGCCAGGCTAGGCCAGGCCAGGCTAGGCGAGGCCAAGCCAGGCCAGGCCAGCTTCAGCTCTTTCCCAGCAAGGCCAGAACTAGGCAATTTAGCTCTAATCATTTCCCAGATCCAGGTCAGGTAAGGCTAAGCAAGCTTGGCCAGCTCCAGCCTTGGCTTTTAACCTCAAATACTTTGTGAATCAGGTACAACTAGGTAATTTTAGCATTTCAATTCTTTCACATTCTTTTCCCAATCCGATTGTCAGTTTGCCTCTGAAACAAACGAATGAAACAAACAAACAAACAAACAGACAGACAATTAAGCAGACAAACAGACAGACAAACAGACAGACAAACAGACAAACAGACAAACAAACAAACAGACAAACAGACAGACAAACAGACAAACAGACAAACAAACAAACAGACAAACAGACAAACAAATTAAAAGTAAATGAAAGAAAAAAGAACATAAAGAAGCTGTTTTCAAAGTTTTTTTTTCTTAATTTGTCGTATTTTTAAGAAATTTGACAAGCTTTAGTCAGAAACTAGATAGCCAGAAAGCCAGAAAATAGCTAATAAGCGCAAAAAAATTTGTCTTATTCTTATTGAATGTCTTCTCTGTAACCAAAAGACTTTAAAGAACTCTCAAATCATTAAAAAGATTAAAGAAAAATATAAAAAGCCATTTCTTTACAGTAGATCTTTAAGATCTTTAAGTTCTTTAAGATCTTTTAGATCTTTTAGATAAACAAACTTAAAACTAACAGCTAACTATCGAAGCTTAGCTGAGCCTGAGCCTGAGCCTAAGCCGATCTAAGCTTAGCTGAGCCTGAGCCTGAGCCTAAGCTTAGCTGAGCCTGAGCCTGAGCCTAAGCCGATCTAAGCTTAGCTTAGCTTAGCCGATCTAAGCTTAGCTTAGCCTGAGCCTGAGCCTAAGCCGATCTAAGCTTAGCTTAGCCTGCAGGACAGAATTTTCCTTTTAGATTGAGCCTGAGGAGGAGTATGATGAGGTGAAAAAGTTGCGAAAAGTTAGAAGAGCTGTCGGAATCGAATTGTCGAAAACGGTAATCTTTTTTCACAGCATCATCATCAAATCTCATCGATTTCTAGAAACGATTCAAACGAGCCACAAAGAAATCTTCATCTCCGCCAGGGAAACAAAAGCAAGAATCAACTTTTCAATATGATGTGGTGAGTGTTTGAAATGAATTCGAGAATTCGTCTAAAGTTTATCGAAAATCGAGAAAATCGAGAAAATCGAGAAGATTTAGATTTCTAGATTTTTGCTAGGCTTTTTCTAGGCTTTTTTCTATCAATTTCGACTCTAAAATAAGACTTTCTAGAGTCTAGAAACAAGAATTTTTTTGTATACAAAGCGCAGAAAATAATAGCAGAAACGAATAGCACTAATAGCTGTATGCAGAAACTAATAGCACTTCAGGCTTCTCTATGAAGTAAATAGTGACAGTGAACTGCTATTCCAGTGCTATTCCACTGTTGTAAAGGGCTAAAGACTGTACTTGACTTTACAAGGGAAAGATCAGAAGTCAGCGTGAAATATTGGCACTAAAATTTGGTGGAAATAAAAGTCGGATACGGTGATCACGATGGCACCATCGTGATCACCGTATCAATCGCCTAAGCCTAAGCCAAAGCATTTTCAGATTTTGCCAAGAAGCTCTAGTTTTCGAGAAAAATGCATTGCAAAGTTGAAAAGCAGGGAAACGGGGACACGAAGGTTAAGTGACCTCCGCTGCCAGCCTTTGCCAGCTCCTTGATGGTGTAGTGGATAGTAAGGGCGTTTATCAGACCGTCCATGACCATGTTTTACCGCGGGTTCGAATCCCCTCCCTAGCCAACTTTTTTGCAAGTTCGGGAAACGAGCGCCCGAAGTTAACTGCTTTTCCCCGCTCTCGCTTCCAAGCTCCTTGATGGTGTAGTGGATAGCAATGTCGTTCACCAGTCCATCACCATCATCATGCCGTGGGTTCGAATCCCCTCCGTAGCCAACTTTTTTGCAAGTTCGGGAAACGAGCGCCCGAAGTTAATTGCCTTTCCCCGCTCTCCTTTAGAAGCTCCTTGGTGGTGTAGTGGATAGCGAGAGCGTTCACCAGTCCATCACCATCATGCCGTGGGTTCGACTCCCCTCAATGCCAAACCTTTTTGCAAAGTTCGGGAAACGAGAGCCCGAAGTTAACTGCCTTTCCCCGCTCTCGCTTACAAGCTCCTTTGGTGGTGTAGTGGATAGTAATGGCGTTTCACCAGTCCATCAGTATCTTTTGAATCCCCTCAATGGTAAACCTTTTTCAAAAGCTCAAAAAGGATTTTAAACAGGATCTGAATGTTTGGGGAAATTTATTAATATCAAGCTAAACTTTTCGATCATTTAAATCATTGAAATCATTGAAATTAGCTTTTATTTAGCTTTACCTTTAGATTTAGCTTTAGATTTAGCATTTATTTCTTTAGCAACAGACGCTTGATGCATCAAATGATCAAATCGACCAGCCACCGCCTATTCAAACGACCGTCATCTCATTGCCGCAGAAGAAAAAGCGAATAAAGGTTTGCGTTTAGTTTACAGCTTTACAGTACTCTTGTTTTAAAGTCTTTTCGCTTTTTCTTTTACTCCAAAAACCTCATAGATAGTTTTTGAATCTAAAATAGATGATTCAGCAATCATCTCTTGATCTAGGAGTACTGTGGACACTTTAGCAGCCATCATATCCGATTTCAGAGCTCTACAGTACCCCTTAGGAGTACTGTAAGCGCTCCAGCAGACCCCATATCTCATTCTAGGGCTCTACAGTACCCTTAGGAGTACTGTAGGCACTTCAACAGCCATCATATCTCATTCCAGAGCTCTACAGTACCCTTAGGAGTACTGTAGGCACTTCAACAGCCATCATATCTCATTCCAGAGCTCTACAGTACCCTTAGGAGTACTGTAGGCACTTCAACAGCCATCATATCTCATTCCAGAGCTCTACAGTACCCTTAGGAGTACTGTAGGCACTTCAACAGCCATCATATCTCATTCCAGAGCTCTACAGTACCCTTAGGAGTACTGTAGGCACTTCAACAGACCCCATATCTCATTCTAGGGCTCTACAGTACCCTTAGGAGTACTGTAGGCACTTCAACAGCCATCATATCTCATTCCAGAGCTCTACAGTACCCCTTAGGAGTACTGTAAGCGCTCCAGCAGACCCCATATCTCATTCTAGGGCTCTACAGTACCCTTAGAAGTACTGTAACTCCTCTAGCACCTACTGTACCCCATTTGCAGGTTCTCCGTCGGAAACCGTTACTCCGTGGGATCGTGCGAGCTTCTGACTTGTTGTATCCATCAAAAATCCCAAAATTAATTGAAGCCAAAGATCCAGCGAATGGAAAAGACAGCTACAGAACCCGGGAATCGTCATCGGAAACTGTCGGCAACAACAGTACGCCGGAAGCCACCGTAATCCCGATTTTCGAGGAGTTTCATTTGAGAACAGAGAAACCGGAGAAATTTCAATTCTCGATTTCAATGAAAAACGATTTGCCAAAGGGAAATTCGCGAAAATTCGAAAAATTCGAAAAATTCGAAAAACAGAGGTAGATTTTGGAAAAGGATTACTGTAATTTCTGTCTTTCTTTTAGAACATTCGGCTTTGAGGCAATGAAAGTAACGGAAAAGTACAGTAATCTTTGTTTTTTTTTGTCTTTGTCTTTGTCTTTGTCTTTGTTTTCAAGTTAATTTTAAATTTAGAACGAAATCCGAAAATCAATTCCTTTCGGAAATCAATCCAACCCCGATTCTGATGTCAAAAAATCAATTTCAACCAAAAAAGTATGCTAAAATTATCATTTCTAAAAGCTTTTCATACTTTGTCCTCTTGAAAATCGTTAAACACACCCCCGTCTGGCGCACTGAATCTATCGAAATGTTTTTAGTAAAGCTTGTAGAAAAAGCTGATAGAAAAAGCTTTTAGAAAGGCATAAAGTTTATAGAAAAAGGAGATCGTTGAAAGGTAATTATCCATTATTTTAGACCATTAATCAGCCCCAGTCCAACCGTTTCGACTCAAGAAAAGCCAGAGATCGTTGAGCCAGAGCATGGCGACTTTTTCCCGCAAAGGTCAGCTTTTTCCCGAAGTTTCTTTCATTCTAGCTACTGTTTGAATTTGATCTAGCTAGGGGAATGTAGCTGATCAGAAGCTAGGGGACTGTAGCTGATGAGAAGCTAGAGTCTGTAGCTGATTAGAAGCTAGGGGACTGTAGCTGATCAGAAGCTAGAGTCTGTAGTTGATCAGAAGCTAGAGTCTGTAGCTGATTAGAAGCTAGAGTCTGTAGCTGGTGAGAAGCTAGAGTCTGTAGTTGATCAGAAGCTAGAGTCTGTAGCTGATCAGAAGCTAGGGGACTGTAGCTGATCAGAAGCTAGAGTCTGTAGCTGATTAGAAGCTAGAGTCTGTAGCTGGTGAGAAGCTAGAGTCTGTAGTTGATCAGAAGCTAGAGTCTGTAGCTGATCAGAAGCTAGGGGACTGTAGCTGATCAGAAGCTAGAGTCTGTAGCTGATTAGAAGCTAGGGGACTGTAGCTGATCAGAAGCTAGAGTCTGTAGCTGATTAGAAGCTAGGGGACTGTAGCTGATCAGAAGCTAGAGTCTGTAGCTGATTAGAAGCTAGAGTCTGTAGCTGATCAGAAGCTAGGGGACTGTAGCTGATGAGAAGCTAGGGGACTGTAGCTGATGAGAAGCTAGGGGACTGTAGCTGATGAGAAGCTAGAGTCTGTAGCTGGTCAGAAGCTAGAGTCTGTAGCTGATGAGAAGCTAGGGGACTGTAGCCTAGAACAAGATGAGTGAAAAGTACAGTAGACTGTCTAGGCATCACCAGCCTCGCACTCAATTAAATGATGATGAATCAATTGAAATACAAATAATTCATGGAGATTATTTGGAGGGATTAACGAAAAAAGAAAAGCTGATAAATTACGATGATTACTATACGGAAATGGAATATTTGAAAGACGAGGATGACGGGCAACAAGTCCAGCAAAGCCAACAACTCCAACAAGTCCAACAAATCCAACAAGTCCAACAAATCCAACAAATCAGCACCACGAGAATGCCGTGAGTTTTGTTTTGAGGAAAAGAAAATTGATTAGAGAAAAGACTGAAAGTCTTTTGCTTAACACTAGAGATTTAACAATAATAAACTTTGAAATTTCAACTTTTCCAGCTCCTCGTAGCTGATTTTCCAATTGAAACTCGTTTTTGCGTTAAGGTTTACAGAGTTTACCAGTCAGGAGATGCCGACTGAAGCATTGAGATTTGAACTTTAAGCTTTGAACTTTGAAATTTAAACTTTGAAATTTAAACTTTGAAATTTAAACTTTGAAATTTAAACTTTGAAATTTCAAACTTTTCCACTTACTAGACTCATAGATGATTTTCAAAAACTCGTTTTTGCGTTAAGGTTTACAGAGGTTACCAGTCAGGAAATGCCGACTGAAGCAGCCGCGTGGACAAGGGATCAAACACTTTTCCATGCCGCATTGCCGTTTCATTTGGGTGAGTTCACAAATGTTTTCGATTCACTCAAAAACAGACCACAATTTGTGGTTGACTACGTAGAAAGAGTTTGATTTTAACGCGGCTAATCATTGGCTAAATTGAGATTGGCTGACTCGGCTAATCACTGCCTATGTCCTACTTCTTTCGTTGATCTGTTACAGCTCCAGTTTCCCTGACATTTCCAGTTTCCACCCTGACCCCCCTCTCGAGGCCGTTGAAGTTGAAGGCTCCGGAATTGGCTGTAACAACAACAACAGAAACTCGTTCTCGGCAAGAATTGGAAACGAATCGTGTTCCGGAGAGAAGCGAAATCCCGAAAAGTGGGTTTTTTAAGTGAAATTTGTTAAAATTTGAGCTTTTTAACTTTGACCTTGAGCTTGAGCCTTTTCAAGGCCCTAGCTAAATCACAGAACTATTAAAGCTTCCCTAAGAAGCTTTAATAGTTCCTATTGACTTTATCAAAATCCCAACTGTAACTGAGCATTTAATAGAGCTTTTCTCATGAATTTTGAGATCTAGATCTAGAACAAGAACTAGGTTTAGATAAAGATCAAGATCAAGAACAAGATCAAGATTGAGAGCTAGATCTAGAACAAGAACAGGATCAAGATTGAGATCTAGATCTAGAACAAGAACTAGGTCTAGATTTAGATCTGGATCTAGAACAAGAACAAGATCAAGATTGAGAGCTAGATCTAGAACAAGAACTAGGTCTAAGTCTAGATAAAGATCAAGAACAAGATCAAGAGCTAGATCAAGAATAAGAACAAGATCTAGATCTAGATCTAGATCTAGATCAAGATCAAGATATAAATCAAGATCAAGATCTCCTCAAGGTCAAGAACAAGAACAAGATCAAGAACGAGATCAAGATCAAGATCTAGATCAAGAACAAGAGCGAGATTGAGATCTAAATCAAGATCCACATCAAGATCCACATCAAGATCAAGAACAAGATCAAGATCTCCTCAAGTTCAAGATCTAAATCAAGATCTCCTCAAGGTCTAGATCAAGATTAAGCTCAAGATCTTTTCAGCTCCAGTCCACTATCAGCCAAGTGATGGAATCGAGGATCTGCGAGTTGTAGAAATCGTGCAGGTTCATTTCTTGAGTGGTTAAGGGATAAAGTAGTTTAGCCAACAAGCTCTCCTACTTGGACAACGTCAACTACAGCTCAATCAACGAAAGCTCAAGCAACGAAAGCGCCGTTCTTCCGCCCGTCAACCCCGGCTCTGCCACCTCTCACAGCCCAAAGAGCACCGAAGAATCAGGTTCGCGTGTGTACTTTTTGCTTAAAAGGGCTAAAATCTGTCACAATTTGTTTTCTTTTTGACAGAAGGTTTTTAAAATTTTTTAAACCACTCCTTTCCGGCTTAAAGCATCGTTTAGGTAGATCTCTGGGGATGGATTCGAAACGCGCAACGTCAGGGAATCACTACAGCTACAGTAAACTCGCCTACCATAACCCATTAAACCCAAAAAAAACCCATCAAAACTACAGTAAGTGATTGAATATTTTGTCTTAAAGCAAGAAAAACCGAAATACTTATTAGATTACGGTAACTTATCAATTCGAATTCTAAAGGATTCCTTAAAACTCATTGAGAAGTGATTGAAGCTGGAAAGGGAAGATAGGTAGATAGCTAGATAGATAGATAGATAGATAGCTGGATAGCTAGATGGCTAGATGGCTAGATGGCTAGATGGCTAGATGGCTAGATAGTTAGATAGCTAGATAGCTAGACAGCTAGATAACTAGATAGCTAGATAGCTAGACAGCTAGATAACTAGATAACTAGACAGCTAGACAGCTAGACAGCTAGATAACTAGATAACTAGATAGCTAGATAACTAGACAGCTAGATAGCTAGACAGCTAGATAAAGAAAGATACGTAGCTTAAAGCTTTCTAAAGTGATTTTCTTATTGAAGTCAATGTTTGAATGTGGTTTTTGAGGAGGTTTTTCTTTTGCTTTTTGCTTTTTGCTTTTTGAGTATTCCAGAGTGAGCAATCTAGCTGAATTCATTTAGCTAATAGCATTATAGCTAATAAAATCCAGGTAATTTCGTTCACATAACTTTTGAAACAGTTTCCTCATCGTTTTTTGAGGTTGCCTCATTGAAAGCCTTTTGTTTTGTGTGCTTAAAAGCAGTAAAGCAGCACTTTTTTCTTGAAAATATCTCAATATGCAATTGTTTATTTAATATTATTTAATATTATTTAATAATAATTTGCATTTTACGCCTTTTTTCTATAAGAAACAAAAAAATCGAAAAGTTAATCAAAAAAGGAAACGAGGTTTTGGTTTCAATGATTTTAAAGGCAGCCTGTACCTGTTACCCTAATCTAAATATCTAATTAGACGATTGTAAATGAATCAGTTCAATGAATTAGTTCAATGAATTGGTTTAATGACCAATTTAAACCAATCAATCACCAATTTAGATGACAATCGATCAACAACAACTCACCAAAAGATTAAAAAAAAAAATTTTTTTTTGTTTGACTTTATATAATTTTTTAAATAGCTTCAAGCAATGTATGATATCCATAATTTTTAAAAATTAATTAATAATAAAGATTTAATTAATAATAAAGATTTATTTCAAGTTTATATTCAAATTTTTATGAATATGTTGGCATTGAGATTAGAATGAGATGGCCGGTGACGATTTGAAAGGAAATCCTGAAAATGATTGTAAGCTTTACAAAAAATCGATAGCTAGATAGCTAGATAGCTAGATAGTTAGATGGCTAGATGGCTAGATAGCTAGATAGCTAGATGGCTAGATAGCTAGATGGCTAGATGGCTAGATGGCTAGATAGCTAGATAGCTAGATGGCTAGATAGCTAGATGGCTAGATGGCTAGATGGCTAGATAGCTAGATAGCTAGATGGCTAGATGGCTAGATGGGTAGATAGCTAGATGGCTAGATGGCTACATAGCTAGATAGCTAGATGGCTAGATAGCTAGATGGCTAGATGGCTAGATAACTATGAATATGTTGGCATTGAGATTAGAATGAGATGGCCGGTGACGATTTGAAAGGAAATCCTGAAAATGATTGTAAGCTTTCGAGAAAATGATTGTAATGCTTTACAAAAAATCCGTTTCCTTTCTTTTTTAAGGGAATTTTTGAAGTTATTAGAATCTTCGAATTTTCTAAAAGATCAATAGAAGCCAGCTAGTGTTGCGTTTTTTCAACTTATCGAATTTAGTGATCAAATGAGACAGGGATAACAGATCATTCGACGCAGAATCTCACGCTCGGAATGTGCTTTCCCTTTTTTCGTTAAAATTAATTGCTTCTGGAGAGGACTGAATTTCCGGGACGCAAAAAATTTCGTTTTACATTCATACATTGAATGTTTACATTCTAAAAACCAGTAACACTAAGCACCATTTCCGCGAAGGGGAGCTGATTATTCAGTCATTTGATTTGAGGAGCTCGAGCGACAGGAAATGGTTCGACAGAGCGAAAGCTATTTTATCTGGACCCAAAGCTGTAAACTTGGTGGAGTGACTCGACCGGAGACGCTCAAGCGACAAGCTCAAGCTCAAATCGTTCTTTTTGAGAGATGTGTTTGACAGAGCAAAAGCTATTTTATCTGGAATCAAAGCTGGTAAACCTGGTACGATGGTATGTGGAGTGATTCGACCGGAGAAGCTCAAGCGACAAGCTAGCTAAAGCGACAAGCTAGCTAAAGCGACAAGCTAGCTCAAGCGACAAGCTAGCTCAAGCGACAAGCTAGCTGAAGCGACAAGCTAGCTAAAGCGACAAGCTAGCTCAAGCGACAAGCTAGCTCAAGCGACAAGCTAGCTCAAGCGACAAGCTAGCTAAAGCGACAAGCTAGCTAAAGCGACAAGCTAGCTCAAGCGACAAGCTAGCTCAAGCGACAAGCTAGCTCAAGCGAGAAGCTAGCTAAAGCGACAAGCTAGCTCAAGTGACAAGCTAGCTCAAGCGACAAGCTCAAGCTTCTTTGGAAAAACGGAAAGCAGATTTGGAATCAGCAAGAAATTCTACGTCAATGAATCAGTGAAATTCTACGTCATGGCAATGTCATTTGATCACCACAACCCGATTGACCTAAGTCTAAACCTAAGCCTTTCATTCTTAGCTTTGACTCTCATTTGATTCACAGGCTTGAATCGACTAAAACTAAGTAAGGATTAAAGTAGTTTTACGTATTCTTTTACCATTTAGGAAAGTATTAGAATGGGTATTAGAACGAAAAAAGTGACTCACGTTTCCCCAGGATCCACGCGAATCATCGCATTTCCATCGATTTCTTTCCATTCATCTTTCCATTTTAATCGCATAAACCCATCCTAAAAAGGCATTAGATTTAAAAAGAAAGATTTCTTCTCATAAAAGTCGAGTTCATCGCTCATTCTCTGGCTTCTCTGGCTTAAATTCCGTCCTTTCAATTCTCTGAACCTTTAGCCACAGCAACACTTCATCTTTTTCCTTTGTCATCCATTCGTGTACCCCATTTGCACCAAAAATGATCACTTCCGTTTTGAATTTTGGCTTTCCATAAAGTTGAACGGGTTCTTTTCTTAAAAAGAAATGTTTTATTTCATTTTTTTTTTTTTTGTTTAAAGCCTAATTTTAAATGCTAATAGAGAAATTGATCGTAAAATCTAAGTGTTAACTTTGAAAGAAATCAATCTTTCTATAGCTATAGCTTGATAAAGATTGATATAAATCTTTATCAATCTTTCTATATCAATCTTTCTATATCAATCTTTCTACATCTCTCTACATCTTTCTACATCTTTCTACCTCAACTTCTCCTCATTTTCTTTCAAGAATTGTTCAAGTTTAATCGGTGATCCTAAATCAGTGGATCGTGGCTCAAATGGTGCATTGATTCTGAAAGAATTCGCTCCGGGTTGACCTGTCTGAAAGGGAAAGAGAAATAAGTGATTGATTTAATCGGAAACCTGACACTCGTCGGACTCCTTAAATTCTTTAATCACTGGCGGTAAATCTTTAACAACATCCGTTAAATGAATCCATCGTTCGAAAAGTCTTTCTGTCGTTTCGTCAACAAAATATCTAAAAAGAGACCGAATCACTTTTTTGCTTTAAATGCTTTAAAAGGCTTCTTTCTCGCCCTCAGAAAAGGGGCTCTTGGCCTAGTGGATAACAAAGAGGACTCTTAGTCGCAAGGTTCTGGTTCGATCCCCGGTCCAGTTTTTTGTTTTTGAAAGTTTACGTTTTTGATAATAGATTTTTAGAAGCTTTAGAGGAAAATGGCGAAGGCTAAATGGCGAAGGCTAAATGGCGAAGGCTAAATGGCGAAGGCTAAATGGCGAAGGCTAAATAGCGAAGGCTAAATAGCGAAGGCTAAATAGCGAAGGCTAAATAGCGAAGGCTAAATAGCGAAGGCTAAATAGCGAAGGCTAAATAGCGAAGGCTAAATAGCGAAGGCTAAATAGCGAAGGCTAAATAGCGAAGGCTAAATAGCGATCCTTGTTCCAGATTCCGGTACTTTAATCACGTTTCTTAAAGTTTAGCTATTAATGGAAACTTACTTGCTTAAAGCTGGCCACCAGATTTCCTTTATTAAGAGTACAGCAATAGCTTCGATAAGGTTATGATGACTGACTTTAAAGACTCACCTGATAGCTTCAAATTCAGTGTTTCTTCTCGTTCTCTCAACCACAAATCCAATCGTTCCTTCAAATCTTTGTGGTGAATGTTCGACTCTAGAAGGTAGTAGGAAGATTTCACCTGGAATTATAGAAAAAATTCAAATCTTTATTTTGTTTACCTTCATTTATTACAAGATCTTTCCTTTTCCCATGCTCCACCACTTTCAATGTCATTCCGCCTTTACGCTAAAACTTAATATTCTGTTTATCGTATTTTCTCTATTTTTCTCTATTTTCTCCGTATTTTCCCGGCGAGTCGAGTTGGTGACTATTTTACAGTTTTCAAGCTTTTACAGAAGCTCAACACTCAAATCCTCCACTAGATCTCATCGCCAGCTACATTTCCCAACCCCACATCAATAGATCCTGATAAGCGGTTCTTGAGATATCGAGGAATTTAGGCGGCGCTCAGGGTGCATTAGAGAAAATAAGGTACTTCTTTTCCTAGTTAACGCTTTTCTTAAAGAAAAGCCTTATTGGCATTGCCTCATTGGCATTGCCTCATTGGCATTGCCTCATTGGCATTGCCTCATTGGCATTGCCTCATTGGCTTTGCCTCATTGGCTTTGCCTCATTGGCTTTGCCTCATTGGCTTTGCCTCATTGGCTTTGCCTCATTGGCTTTGCCTCATTGGCTTTGTGATCTCAAAAATTTACTCGAAACACAAGCACTCTAGTATACTAATCTTTAAAATAATCTTTAAAATAATCTTTGAAATAAGCTCACTTGATAGAAAACCTCTTCACCCTCTTCTAAATGATAGTCTAAACGTTGATTCGGCCCACCGACAAAGAAAACTTTCAATTGATTCGCGAACCTGAAAGAATTCAAACAAATTTTTCAATTTAAAGAAATTGGGGATGGGACAAATGCGACCTTTTTTGCTGCGCACCTGGACATTTGCGCACCTTTTTTTTTGCTGGAAAAGGCCTTAGTCATCGTCGGGGAAAGGTCGTAGAGCTTCGAAAATGTTTCTATATAAGGGAATCGTATGCGTAGATTCCGAATTTCGACAAATCAGACCTCGCTGACACGTTAAATTTGAGCTAAAAGGCAAAAACTGCGGAAAAGCGTTAAATTGCGTAGTTTTTGCCTTTTAGCTCAAATTTGACGTGTCAGCGAGGTGTGATTTGTCGAAATTCGGAATCTACGCATACGATTCCCTTAGATTTAAATATTTTTGAAGCTCTACGACCTTTTCCAGCAAAAGAAAGGTCGCATTTGTCCCACCCCCAGATCTTGATGTGAGGGGGCGTGGCTTGGCATCCTGGCGAGGCTCTGCTTTTAAATTTGTATTAAATTTGTCGCATTTGTCCCACCCCCAGATTTTGAAGTGAGGGGGCGTGGCTTGGCATCCTGGCGAGGCTCTGCTTTTAAATTTGTATTAAAAGCTGGACGAAAGAAGTTTTTTTTTAGCATTAGACTTTTTCAAAAATCGAAAACTCGCGTTTTTATTCATAAATCTGACTTAAAGATGTGATTTTCGTGATCAGCACTGTCGACTACCCTAGAAAAAGCAAGAAAAAATGGTGCTGAACTGCAAAGAAGTGGGCAATGTACTGGACTTTACTAATGTGCCAACTAGATTACTGTACAGTTATTGTACAGTTATTGTACAATTACTAACTACAATAACTTGATACTTTTAGCCCAAGTCTGCGAGGTGTTTAAAAAAACGATTTTTTCATTTTTCAAAACAACTTTAGCACTTATTAAACTTTTCTTTTTTTTCTCTTTTCTTTCTCTTTTCTCTTTCTCTTTCTCGCTTTTCTTATAAGCTTTTATAATCTCTAATAATACTTTAAACTCACATGCACTTGTTGCAAACTGGCGCCACGAAATCCTTCTTGTTCTCCTCAATCCACGCATCGATTTCGTTCACAATCATTTTTCAACAAAAATCTCCAATATTCGTCCGAAATTCTCGATTTATTTAGCAATTCTGGCGTACACAGTGGTTAAATAACTGAAATAAAGATGGGAAATGATTTTTACCCAAAAGCTCTCTCTTTTCTAGCATTCTTTTTTTTTGAAAAAAAGAACCGAATTGATAAGGGGAAAATCGATAGGAAAACTTGTTTTCTATCTAATTCTTTTCCTTTTAAAGGAAAAGAATTCCTTTTTGCCCACAATTCCTTTTTTCTTTTCCTTTTTTGAAATTCTCTTTTGAAAAATTTATGAGAATTAGAAAAAAAGAAAACAGAAACTGTGCCCAGCCTTCCACTGTGCCCAGCCTTCCACTGTGCCCAGCCTTCCACTGTGCCCAGCCTTCCACTGTGCCCAGCCTTCCACTGTGCCCAGCCTTCCACTGTGCCCAGCCTTCCACTGTGCCCAGCCTTCCACTGTGCCCAGCCTTCCACTGTGCCCAGCCTTCCACTGTGCCCAGCCTTCCACTGTGCCCAGCCTTCCACTGTGCCCAGCCTTCCACTGTGCCCAGCCTTCCACTGTGCCCAGCCTTCCACTGTGCCCAGCCTTCCACTGTGCCCAGCCTTCCACTGTGCCCAGCCTTCCACTGTGCCCAGCCTTCCACTGTGCCCAGCCTTCCACTGTGCCCAGCCTTCCACTGTGCCCAGCCTTCCACTGTGCCCAGCCTTCCACTGTGCCCAGCCTTCCACTGTGCCCAGCCTTCCACTGTGCCCAGCCTTCCACTGTGTCCAGCCTTCCACTGTGTCCAGCCTTCCACTGTGTCCAGCCTTCCACTGTGTCCAGCCTTCCACTGTGTCCAGCCTTCCACTGTGTCCAGCCTTCCACTGTGTCCAGCCTTCCACTGTGTCCAGCCTTCCACTGTGTCCAGCCTTCCACTGTGTCCAGCCTCATTTCATCAATTGTTTTCATGTTCCTAAAAGGAAAAACATGTTTACCAGATTCCTCTTCGATTCAAAACACAAAAACGGATAGCAAATTCGGAATTAGAATCAAATTTTCAATCTAGTTTGGTCTAGAATTGTCTAGTTTCTCATTTCATTTCACCACCATCATTTCATCATCTTTCTTTATTAGCTAATGTCTTTTTGTAAACACAAATCACCTGGTGCACTGAGAGCTTTACTTTACAAATCCCCATTTTCTTGTATTTCTATTCAGCGATTTTTTACGAAATAACGAAATTCGAAAAACGCCATTCGCCAACTTTTTTGTTTATCAATTTCTGTCATTTTTCTCTCAAATTCAGCCGAAAAGCGAAAATTTCAAATAAATTGAAAGAATTTTGTGCTGAAAAACGAATAAATTGCTTAAATTGCTTAAAATTGTTCCTAAAAACATGTTCTTTTGTTATTTGTTGATCATTTTCGCAATTATTCCCTCGATTTCCGTTTGTCTTTGCGCTCCATCGCCCGTCAACGCCACGTTTTGTCAAGCCGATTGGGGTAAAGCATCAAAAGCAGTCGATTTTCTTCCAAAAACATTTTACAAACTCTCACTAGAACACATTTCAAACACATTTCACATTAGCTTAACCTAATTTCATCAAATATGAATCAAAATTTCATCAAATAAAGGATTGAGCCATCTCTAGTTCATAGCTGGCTCAATTCTCTGATTTAACCCTAAAAAACCAGACCATTTTCAAATCCTATTGTAAATCCTGGAACTCACGGCAACTTTCTCATAACTAACTTTTACAAAATTCACAACTTTTGTCCTGGTCAAGTGGATAGCTGCCTAGTCTCTCGTGAGAGTGATCCCTGGTTCGACCCCGGGTGCGACCAGAGACTTTTGTTTTTTTCAAAAATTGAATTATTGAATTAAAGGCCTGGGCCTATGCCCTTTTCTGCTTATCAAATCTCTCTTTCTCCAGTTTCCCGCGTTTACGTCAACTCGACCGAGCTGCTCATCGAAAAGCACATCCGCCAATACACCGTCACTCATTTGGAAGTGTTCAAGGTTCCTAAAAACATTAAAATATCAAAATCTTAATCGAAAACCTTAGTATCCATCGAATGCCACCCGAGAGCTTTCCCCAGAAATCCGCACCGCTCCATTTGACTCCTTTTGTGGGGTGATGCTCGAGTTGGGCGGCGATAACGAATTTCTGCTATCCGGTTGGCGATTTTTGAAATCCCATTGTAAATCCTGGAACTCACGGCAACTTTCTGATAACTAACTTTTACAAAATTCACAACTTTTGTCCTGGTCAAGTGGATAGCTGCCTAGTCTCTCGTGAGAGTGATCCCTGGTTCGACTCCGGGTGCGGCTAGAAATTTTTTGCTTTTTCAAAAATTGAATCCTTTTCAGGTAAAGAAAGCAATGGCACGTTGACAATGGAGATTTGCGATCAGGTTTTTGAAGAAAATCGAAATTTGCATTTGATTTTTTTGATTTTAGATCGTTCCAAAACCGAAAAATGTCGAATTGAAATGGGAAAAGGTTTGAAAAAAAGAAAATTTTTCAATAAAATCGCTAAATTTAGACAAATTTCGACATTTTAGATCGATTTAAATCAGATTTTAAGTTAAAATTGAAATTTTTGAGAAAGTACCCAGTTAACTTTTTTTTTTTAGTACCCAGTTAACTTCACGGAAACGCTGGAGTCGATCGAGTGCGATTAAAATTAGAAAAACTGATTTCGATGATTAAAAACTGATTTCATTTGAATTTCTGTCGCTAATTTTAAATCTAATTTAATTTTCTGCGCGACGTCGCATCCCCAATTGACGTCACCGCCATTTGGAGGCAGTCGATGGGAGCGCCGCGTTGTCGTTTCTTTTTCATTTTTCAAATCATTTGTTTTTTTTAATCATTTTTTTGCATCTTTTTTTTTGAGTCTTTTTTTTTTCAGATTAATTTAAATTATTGTTTTACGTGATAAATTTTGTTTTTCTCTTTGAAATAAGAAAAAAAAAACAATTTCTATTTGAAAGCCGAGTCGAGACGAAAAATGAGAGATGTGTGCTTTCCGTGGGGTAGGCTAGTTTCCGCAACTTTTTTTGCGCAACAGGGTCATTTGCGCAACTGGGTCGTTTGCGCAACTCACCATAACTTTCTTCTAAGTGGGCCAATCTTTATGATTTTGATTTCATTTTGTTGCACTTATTGAGATCTACAAAATGAGACCACAAATCATAAAGATTGGTCCACTTAGAAGAAAGTTATGGTGAGTTGCGGAAACTAGCCTACCCCCTTTCCGTCCTTTCTGTGCGACGTCGCATTTCCAATTGACGTCAATTGACGTCACTCCAATCATTTGGAGGTAGTCGATGGGAGCACCGCGTTGTCGTTTCTTTTTCATTTTTCAAATCATTTGCTTTTTTTAGATTAATTGAAATTATTGTTTTACGCGATAAATTTTGTTTTTCTCTTTGAAATAAGAAAAAAAACATTTGAATTTCCATTTGAAAGCCGAGTGGAGAATCCGGAATTTCGCATAGCCGGACCACAGTGAAAGCCAAAGGTGATTGTTAGATCGTTTGCGGAGTTGAATGGAAACAACGAAAGCAAAGCACATTTTCTGGACCGTTACAAAACTCAGTAACCCAAATATAAAGAGCCAGCTCTTCGATTAGAAACATCATATTGTTGCTAAAAAAATTTAGAATGGCTAAATAGGCTCTTCTAGGCTTCTAGGCTTCTAGGCTTGGCTTCTAGGCTTCTAGGCTTCTAGGCTTGGCTTCTAGGCTTCTAGGCTTGGCTTCTAGGCTTGGCTTCTACAGGCTTGGCTTCTAGGCTTCTAGGCTTGGCTTCTAGGCTTCTAGGCTTGGCTTCTAGGCTTCTAGGCTTGGCTTCTAGGCTTCTAGGCTTGGCTTCTAGGCTTCTAGGCTTCTAGGCTTGGCTTCTAGGCTTCTAGGCTTGGCTTCTAGGCTTGGCTTCTAGGCTTCTAGGCTTGGCTTCTAGGCTTCTAGGCTTGGCTTCTAGGCTTCTAGGCTTGGCTTCTAGGCTTCTAGGCTTGGCTTCTAGGCTTCTAGGCTTGGCTTCTAGGCTTCTAGGCTTCTAGAAATAGACTCTTCTATTAGAATCTTTACTATGTATAAAAGATAATCTATAAAACTCATTAATCTTTTTAAAAAAAAAAACCGGATCAATCACCGAATTTTCGCGATGAGTCACTTCTTTTTTCTCTTCTTTTTTTCTCTTCTCTTTCCTCTTCTTTTTGTTTTGTCAATTTTCAGGTGTAATTCCTATTTCCCGAACTCAATCAACCGCTCGAAAATCCGACTTTTGTTGACTGACTGACTAGAAAGGATGACAAATTTGTACTTCAATTGTACCTGAGAATCATATTTATCGAAAACAGATGACTTTTCTGCTTTTCTGTGCTTTTCTTGTGCACTTAGCGACTGTTGATTCTTAAAAATTTCCCGATTACGACCTCGTAGCCGTTGGGGATCTGAAATCTTTTTCGGATTATCTTTTTCAAATTTTTATTTCTTTTCTCTATATTTTCTGATATTTTCTGATTAACCTTGAGAGAGAAAAAAAAGGTTTTTTTTGTGCAATCAATCGATCACCTCCGTTTTCCCCATCTTTTTTCGCCTCTTTCCGCTTTTTTTTTTTCTTTTCTTTTATGATTTTTTTACAAAAATGATGGATTGCCGCAAAAAAAAATGGCTCAATTGACTTAAAAATCTAATAAATAAATTTAATTTTTATAAAAATTCTAAAGAAAAATCTCAGTTTTACCCTAAAATCTCGAAATTTGAAAATTTTTAGAAAAAGGAGAGACTTGCTTTTTTTGAACTAAAAACTTTACAGCATCGTCGCTTTGTCATTGATTTAGTCGAAACTTTCAAAATCCTCCGTTGTAAACAGATTAGCCCTTTGTTTATAGACTTTTTCAAATTTAAACCGCGGTCAGGGCCCAGAAGTGGCTCATTCCTTTTGCAAATTCCCTTTGCTTCCAATGCCTCTTTATCAAATTCATTTCCCGTTAGAGCCGCTAGATTATGGAACTTGCTCCCAAACGACATACGAGAAATTCAGTCGCTTTTCATATTCAAGAAACGTATCGATGCTTTAGATCTAGTGGCTCTTTGCCGTAAGTAATTGGCTTATTGATTTCAGTATGTATTGTATGATTAAGTATCACTGTGCATTTCTCTATCATTTCTTTCACTTTATCGTTTGAATAAAGTATTATTATTATTATTAAATGAATAAAACGAATAAAACGAAAAAAATGAAAAGAAAACTTTTTGCAAGAAAGCTGAAAGTAAAATAAAAGAGAAAATTATACAAATTTGTTATTTTACTGAATCTAAAGCAATTGATAGCTTTATGATGAATAGTAAGATTATCTAAAAGCAGGAAGATAGATAGATAGATAGATAGATAGATAGAGAATAGTAAGATTATCCAAAAGCAAGATGGATAGATAGATAGATAGATAGATAGATAGCTAATATCACTGTGCATTTCTCTATCATTTCTTTCACTTTATCGTTTGAATAAAGTATTATTATTAAAAAAAAAAAACTTTCAAGTCAAGAAGACTTGATTGTTGGTTGATCGATTTGCTGCTTTTTCTCGTTATTCTTTGATCAACAAGACTTGCAAGTCTAACCTTTAGACTCACAGGTCAAGAAGACTTTTTTTCGTTTCAAATCCTTCGTTTCAAATCCTTCATTTTTCAATCAAAATTTCAATTTTTCAATTTTTATTGAATTTTTCAGTGAAATCATGAAGTTTCTATTGGTTTTTTGTGCCTTTTTGAGCATCGCTTTTGCTTGTAAATGCCAAGATTTATCGGCGAAAGACGCGTTTTGTCGAGCGACATGGGGCAAGTTTTTTTTTGTCGAATTTTTTTGACTTTTTGACTTTTTGACTTTTTGACTTTTCTGAAAAACTGAAAATCAATTTTTCAATCAATTTCCGTAAACGAATAGATGAAATAGATGAAATAGACGATAAAATGTCTTCATTTTATGGTCTATTTCATAAGTAAATTTCTATTTCTCTTCCCGAATTCATCCATTCATCACATCCAATTCATTTAATCCACAATTCAATTTAATTTAATCAATTTAGCCCAGTGTTTAATCCAGTTTAGTTTTTTTTTTTTTTTTTTGCAAACTTTTTTGCAGCTTTTGGTTCATTTTGTAAAAGAGAAATTTACGGTAATCGGTTAAGACGGTAAATAGGTATCAAAGAGGTATTATTGTAAATCGTAGTACCGTAAATACTGTAATAGTGCTGTAATAGTACTGTAATAGTATTGTAATAGTATTGTAATAGTATTGTAATAGTACTGATCAACCCTCGTACAGAGGTATTAAATAGGTATTAAATAGCTGCTAAATAGTTGCCAAATAGGTATCAAATAGGTATCAAATAGGTATGAAATAGTTATCAAATAGGTATGAAATAGTTATCAAGTAGGTATCAAATAGTTATCAAGTAGGTATCAAATAGGTATCAAATAGGTATCAAGTAGGTATCAAGTAGCTATCAAGTAGGTATCAAGTAGCTATCAAGTAGCTATCAAGTAGCTATCAAGTAGCTATCAAGTAGCTATCAAGTAGCTATCAAGTAGCTATCAAGTAGCTATCAAGTAGCTATCAAGTAGCTATCAAGTAGCTATCAAATAGGTATCAAGTAGCTATCAAGTAGCTATCAAATCGTTACCAAATAGGTATCAAGTAGGTATTAA